TGATACATTTTAAAATTATATATTTTAATCTGAATGAAGATAAACTCAAATGATAAAACATTGGCTTCTTGTTCTAAAAACAGTTTGGAGAAACAAGTTTCACAACATGTCTGTTGGCTGAAATACACATTTGTATCAATATTTTTCTGTGATCTACAATCCTTTATTCCTTGAAAGTGTATTACAATATACAATTTGAAATTAGTTTTTTTTTCTATAAACGTGTAAAGAAAATGTTTTTTAAAACAAAAAGAGCTTCTCTCGTGTTTTAATGCAGTGTTGTGAACTTCAGTTTAGTCACTTTTATTACTGTCTGCCACCTACTTTTATACTTTTTATCAGTGGTGGGCAGCACTGTTGTAACAATTGGTTCAACTAGCCCTAAAGCACAAACTCAAATATTTAGGTCCCCTAATTCTAAAGCACTAACTCAAAWATTTAGGTCCCCTAATTCTAAAGCACTAACTCAAATATTTAGGTCCCCTAATTCTAAAGCACTAGCACACTGAAAGTTTTAGCAAAAGCTAATTCTAAAACACTAAAATAACCCTGTCAACCCATGAACATTGTTCAACAGACAACATGAGTCACATATTATCATGTTGCTCTATTAAGACTTATCATTGACATTCCACAGCTGTATTTTTGTTCATATAGTGTCAATATATTGTCACCTGGTCGATAAGGGACACACACATGAACAAAATGTGTGACAGTTTTCACCCTCAGCTGTTAAGATTAACATTGATCAAGAACATTTATAGACCTCAGTTAGTGCTTTTAAATTTAGCCTATAAATTTAGCAAGTGCTAATCCACTAATACATTTTAAAATTAGCAAAAGTCCTAAAGCTCTAATCAGGAAATTAGTTTCCCTATTAGTGCTTTAGTGCTTTAGGGCAGTGGTTCCCAACCCTGGTCCTCAAGTACCCCATACAGCATGTTTTACTTGTTTCCCTGCTCTCCAGCAGGTCTTCAGAAGATTGTTAATCACTCATTCATTCAAAACCAGGTGTGTCAAATCAGGGAAACATCTAAACATGCAGGGAAGCAGTCCTTGAGGACCAGGGTTGAGAATCACTGTTATAATACACGTTATCTGATTTATTATTTACAAATAAATGGCAAAGAATCAATGGCTTCCAGAGGCAATACTAAAAAACAAAACAAAAAAAAAAACCATAAAACTAAGTCAATGTTATTTTGAAAATGTCTCATCAAGCTCAGAGAAGCTCTTGAGGTGTTGGTCAACATTTAAAGCAGTGATTTTTAGATGTTTCCCTGATTTGACGCCTGGTTTTGAACGAATGAGTGATTAACAATCTTCTGAAGACCTGCTGAAGAGCAGGAAAACAAGTAAAACATGCTGGRTAGAGTTTATCAGCAGTTTTTCCTCTTCTGACATCACAACAAAGAAACATTGTGATTAACAAGATTATAGAAGAAAAACTCAGTGGTTTGAAAAAAAAAGTCTAGTCTTTAAAAAGTGGCCTACAAATATTTTGCTGAAGTGACAGGAGTGTGTGTTTAAAACAGAGGCAGAAAAACTGAAGGTTGTGTCACAGCAGCTTATGTCTGGCTGACTGTCTGACTGACTGATTCTCTGACTGTGTCTGTCTTTCTGACTGTCTGTCTGACTGATTTTCAGTCAGAAAGACAGAYAGTCAGACTGGCTGTCTGTCTGACTGATTCTCTGACTGTGTTTGTCTTTCTTTCTGTCTGACTGACTGTCTGTCTGACTGACTGACCGTCTGACATTCTGTCTGTCTGTAAACATCACGACTGCCAGTAAAACCAGATGGAAAAATACCAAAGTTCATCTCTGCTAAAAGAGCTCTGGGTTGTTGTTGTTGATGATGATGATGATGATGATGATGATGATGATGATGATGATGATGCAGGAATATAAAGAAGCTCTCTCACCTGATGGGAGACAAATCTTAAAATGCGTCACTTGCTGTTTGCAGACATGAGCTACAGACAGGTTTGGAGTTTGAAGCAGAGTTTCTGCGTCAGTCTGTCTGTGACTGACAACATCCGTCCTGATGAAGCATCCGTCCTGCTCCTCTTTCTCCTCCTCCTCCTCTGTTTCTGCTCGCAGCAGAACCGCAGAACGTTTTCYGAGGAAAAAAAAATTAAAGGGGAAGTGACCCACATTGTGAGGTGAGAGAAAACAAAATATACAGGTGCTGGTCATAAAATTAGAATATCATGAAAAAGTAGATTTATTTCAGTAATTCCATTTAAAAAGTGAAACTTGTATATTATATTCATACATTACATACAAACTCATATAT